TCTAAGGACTTTAGGAGGGACCCCCAATATGAGGGTCCCTATTGGGGTTTAGGGTTTAGGGACCCTTAATCCCATTACCTTAAATAACCATTGTATAGTCCTTATATACCCCTTATATAGCCAGGTAGTCTCCATAATAACCCCAATAACCTGCAAGGGTCCCCATAAGGGGTGCCTCCTAAAGCCCTTCGACAGGAGCCACCAAACCCCCTGAACTTAGGAAGGTTTAGGGTTTAGGGTTTAGGGCTTAGAGTTTAAAGCAGGAGCCACCAAACCCCCAAAACCCTAAGCCATCCGTCCTGGAACCAGTTTGCGGATCTGGGAAGACGTCCAGGTGGAAGTTTGCCTCCGCTTGAACGATGCCGCAGTCTCTGAGGCAAGCCCAAATCCAGGGTTTTTTAGGGGTTTAGGGGTTTAGGGGTTTAGGGTTTAGGGTTTAGGGGTTTAGGGGTTTAGGGGTTTAGGGGTTCAGGGTTTAGGGTATACAGGGCTTCTATAAGGCTTCCATACGGTATATAGACCTTCTATAAGGAGAAAGCAACTACCCACCTGAAAATGTCCCAGATCAGGGTTGAGGGCCCCAGCCTGGACCCTAAGCGCTAATTAAGGCTAAGAACACAACTTACGTTGGTTTACTCTTTGTGTCGGCCAAATTTCCTGCTTTTCTTATGCGCCTCGTGCATTTACCCGGGATTTCCGCATTACCACTTTCACGTCATACGTTAGGGTCTTCGGGTTCGGGGGTTCCGGGTTTGGGGTTTGGCGGTTTCAGGGTGTAGGAGTTAGCTTGCAAGGCTTATTTAGGTGTTTAGGATTTATGTTTTGAGGGTTTAGAGCTTCAGCACAAATGCATTCTCCTGTCCAAACACGCAGTAAACCTCCTCTCTACCCTACGTCCTCGAATCAATCTTAAACCGTGCATCCGAAACCCAGACTCAGAATCTAAAATCCGTAAAAAAAACCCTTCTTAAATCACTGACCAGTAGAGTCAGCCTCAGCAGCCTAAACCCTAAACCCTCAACCCTAAACCCTCAACCCTAAACCCTTAACCCTCAACCCTGAACCCTAAACCCTAAACCCGAAACCCAAAGCCCTTCAGATCTTGGGAAGGTTTTCTGGGCTCTTGACTTAGGCGAACCTGGAGTCGCCACCTCAGGGTTTAGGGCCTTTAGGGTCTAATGTAGGGGCCTTCATAATTAGAATAGGGTTCTGGGGCCCTTTATACTATACTTATACTAAGGAGCCCCTAAAATAGTATAGGTAATTATTTAGGCTTCTATATTAGGGTTTTGGACTTCGAGTTTAGTGTCGGGTTTGCAAATTGACGTTTGAGGCTGCGGTACATTCCTCATCATCTTAAATAACCTTACTCTCCTCTTCAACAACCAGGTCGAAAAAAGCTCAGACTTTTTAAGATAGACCCTAGACCCTAAACCCTACATAGACCCTGAACCTCTAAACCCTAAACCCTAAATCCAAAACTCTAAAGCCTAAACCCTAAATCCAAAATCCCAAACCGTGGCATAGCCTGAAGACCTAGCCCTGACCCGAAAACGTGCGACATCTGCTGATGGTGCTCACACCTTAGGGTTTAGGGTTTAAGTTTCAGGGTTAGTGTTCAGGGTTTAGGCTTTTAGTGTTCAGGGTTTAGGGTTTGGGGCTCAGGGTTTAAAATTTAGGGTTCAGGGTTTAGGGTCTTAGTGTTCGGGGTTTAGCGTTCAGGGTTTAGGGTTTATGGGCTTCAGACCCTGCACAGGGCTTTGCGGCTTAGGATCTACAGGTGGACCCTAAAACATCTCTACTTCGGTACAGATACTCCAGAACAGACCTCTGATCCGAATATAAAGCTGTATTAACACGGTCCTGGCCTAAACCCTAAACCCTAAAACCCAAAACCCAAACCCTGAACCCTAGACCCTAAACCCTAAAGACCTAAACCGGTTTTGGGGGTACATTGTACTATACTTATACTAAGGAACCCCCAAAAATAATATAGGCAATTACTAGGGCCCCTATATTAAACCCTACACCCTGAAAACCCTACACCGTAGAGGCCATAGACCTTAACACTAAACCCTATAAACCCTATAGGCCCTGAACGCTGAACACACTACAAGCCCTATAATAAACCCTAAACCCTGAACCTGAAACCCTATAAGCCCTAAACCCTTTGCACCCTAAGCCCTCCACTCTGATAACACCGAAAGCCCCTGTGTTAAAGGAAACTACAGGTGGGGGGTTTAGGGTATATAGGGCTTCTATAAGGCTTCCGTAAGGTATATCGACCTTCTATAAGGCTCCTATGAAGGTAACCACCCACCTGAAAATGTCCT